AACACGTACTAAGGATAGTTTGATCCACTTGTATTTTAATCATACTGTACAACACATCACGTATTAAGGATAGTTTGATTCACTTGTATTTTAATCATGCTGTACAATAAAACACGTACTTGGGGTACATCGATTCGCTGATCATGTTGTACAATAAAACACGTACTTTGGGTACATTGATTCGATGATCATGTTGTACAATAAAACTAACGTTTCGTAAAACAAGGAAAACGCCCACTTTATGTTGGTGGCGTAGAACAAAGGATTAATCGTGTGTTTAGTAACATAAACGTCACTTTTAGTGCATGCAATGGAAAATGACGAACCAGTTACAGCGGTACTATTTACGATTCGGACTACCGGTAGCCGACGGCTACGTACGTCATGGGTGAGCGCTCTGACCGAGCTCAGGTAAATTTTGGCTGGTGCGCGCCACTACACTGCCGATAAGGTAGGCCTGTCGCGGACGAGAGCGTGGCCGGTCGGCAGACATGAAAGAACCCGACAGAACAAAAGAAATTCGTAAATTAAACGATTTCTGCTAAAATTAAACGATTTGCCGCGAGAGGTCAACGCTCCACCAAAACGGAACACTGTTCCTTGACACGCAAACACTGCTCCGTGAAAATTAAGCATGCAGTTTTAAAACAAACACTGTTTCGTGAAAAGTAAACATGCAGTTATAAAACAAACACTGGGCCAAGAAAAGTAAACATGTAGTTATAAAACAAACTCTGTTCCGTGAAAAGTTAACATGCATTTATAAAACAAACTGTTATACTCAAAACTAAACACAAGTCTGCGAAGAATAAACGTCGGTTTAAACAATAAACGGTGACTCGTCAAATATAAACTATAATCCAAAAAATACACACAAAAAGAGAACAACTAAACGATTTTTGAAAATTAAACGAAAAAATGAAAAAAATACACGGTAAGGGTCCACCAGTGCAAGTTCCTGTAGGTACTGAGGAGCTGTTCCATTCAGTGCCTTGTATGTGTATACCAATTTTTTTTTGATTTGATTTGAAGAAACACAAAACTAGACCAGGTGTATCTCACTGCATGTGTATCATACAATTAGACAAAAATGGTCCCCTATAGAGTCGGGTATATTTTCGTGTTTTCAACAGAGAGGATTTTTAAGAAACTAAAATTAACCTGCTGCCTCCCCTGCAACACTTTTTATCAAAATTTCCATTTTCTTTTACTCTCTGTCTCCTTAGGCTAGCCTCCTCATATGACATTGCCTTTTGTTGTCTCTGACAAAAACTGTCCATTAAGAAAAGAGGTGTCTTTGAATAGCTGCAGTTGGTCCCTTGAGTAGTCTTGACTTTATCTGAAATGCAACTTTTGTCCTGCCTGAATTTTTACGTTTTATCAAGCTTTGAACATTCAGGTACTAGTAATTTTGATTTCAATGGATGAGTTTTCATTTTTCGAAGCAGCTGCGTTCAAACGAAGACAGATGCTTCGGAAGACTTGGCTTATTGGAGAGAGTAAGTAGGAATGAGAAGAATAGTTCTTCATGACATTAGAAAAGCAGATCAATTTTAGCTTCATCAAATGAAAACACAAAGAAATCCTTCAACTCTGCAGAAGACCAAACATTAGCCGCCTCTTAATGTACGTGAATCTGGATACAGAAAGTCTATTCTTCCCCGACCTGCATGGGGCACAAGACTGACTCATGCACTTTTATCATACAGCTTTAAAAATGAGGACACTTATGTCGGTTCAGAGTCACGAGTCTGACAATCATCAATTGCAATAAGTTGCTTTTCAATGTTTTAAAATCCTTTTAGTCCATGTTGTCATGTTGCTATGGTTAGATTTCTTATTTCGTTTTTGTTTCCACTTTCAATCTATAGGACTTACCAAGGGTTCATATGGTGCTGTGCCATCAACAGTGTTGGTATTTGTTAAGTAAATGACGAGTTCTCTCTCATCACTGAAGCTTTCATGCAGATACAACGTATTCGTGTCTATTTCACCGTGATTATATCTTACTTACTAGCCATAAAACTTCTCAACATTACGTAATATTTTGAAATTGGCTTAATGTACATTCATTTAACACTTAAATACCTACTAAGAGTCCTTGTACATTACGTCGGAAGTAACACAGCAAGGCACACCATTAGACAAACATTTTTTAAATGACATGTTAAACTAAAACTAAAAAGCAGCATGACTCTGACGTTCAAAAACAACAAAGCAATAATGGATCAAGTGTAACTGATGTATCAATACAATTATTAAAAAATAAAATTAGTACTTACCAAATCATGTATCATAATGATAAAGAAAGAGATGTTCAGAATGACTGCATTAGTTTGGTTCCGAACGGGTCTGATTGACTTCCGGTAGTCCCTAAACAGGTCGTCGTGTAACTTTCCTACGTCACGAGCGGTAGCAGATTCGATTTTCTGGACTGTGGAAACAAACAAAATGAAAACATGAAATAAGCTTGCGTATCTATTTTACATCTGACTTTTTATTATTTGATTATTTGATTAAAAGGATTAAAAACATGTCAGGATGTAAATTTGAAGTCGGGTGTCTTAAATTATGTATCGCTTTTTCGGTTTGTATAAGATATTTGTGTCCTTGCGACAGCTAAAGACAAACGAAGATGGCGCCTAGGGAGACACTGTCGAAAATAGAGTGAATGCAGGATAAAAAGACACAAATAGACATCTCAAGTGTTATGGGGTCAGTAGATCAAATGATCTTTTTTTCAATGTCTACAAAATAGAGGAGAGAGAAGAAAATTAGTCCGACTCTATTGGAGTTGCAAAAAATCGCTCCTGCTTTCAGTTGAATATAATCCGTTCTTTTCCTGATTCTACGCAACTTTATGGCATGGTATATTATAGAGATAAATTTTGAATGACACTTGTCGCTTGTTGATATTTTAAGAGTATATTTAGTGTTTAAGATAATTTGCGGTACAGAAGTGTTTACATTGTCAATGCTGTTAAAGTATGATATTTTTGCAAGTCAATATGTTTATTTATATTTTGTTATATTTAAAAACAAAACAAGAAATTAATGAAAAGAAAGTGCGAATTAGTCAACAAAATGGGTGACAATTTTCTTTAACCTTCATAAACTCTATCCCAGCTATCTCTTTGACATTTACTTCTCTGTGTATTTCCTGGTCATACGTACTGCCTTTACATTAGTCCTTTGTCTGTATATCTCTAAGCTTTTCTCTATGGTCGTCTGTTTCTATGTTTGTCCTTTTTTAATTATATCTCTAAGATTGTCTCTTTAGTTTTTTGTCCATGTTTTGTCTTGTTGTTTGTTTCCTTTTGGTTTGCCCTTCGTTTGCCTATCACTGAGTTCCTATTTCTCCTTTTCTCTGTTTTTGTCTGCTCTCCATTCAGCTGTATCAGTTTGTCTACCTTTCTGTTATCTTTGTATGTATTGTCTTCTAATGTTTTATATTTACCTCCGTTTGTTGATCTCTATTTGCTATAACAAGGAGACAAACACGAACATATCGCAGCCTCCCAAATCACACACGCATATACTACACGCATGCATCTTGCACACAGGAGAGGCCGTCCTTAAATGACAGGACGTTAAACAATACTAAACCAAACCAAACCAAAGTTGATATTTATTTGGCTGCCCCTTTATGCATGTATATGCTTTCTCTGTCTGTATGCCTCTCTGCCTTCTGCTATGTCCTAACTAGTCCGGTCTTTAAATATATATCTTTTGGTCTGTCTGTCCATATCTTTGACTATCTATAAGCTTATGGCTGTCCGTCTGTATACAGCTGCTTGCCTCTATATGTCTCTTAGTTTATATCAGCCGTACACATTACATATGTGATAACTGTGTATGCCTCATCCGTCTGTGTAGATGCTTCTCTCTGCTGATACTATCTGACGTCATGTAGGTCTGCAGTACGTCTAATCTTTTTTCGTCACAAATATCTATCTATCCGTTTGCATATTTCGTCTGTCCTGCATTGGGTTCCGCACGGCATGGCCTGATCGATTTGAACATATTGCGATTTAGCATGGCTAGTAATATAAAACCATTTCAATCAACGATTAAGTGGGAAGATGACAGTCAGTTAAGTTTTGTTACACCTCCTCAATACCAGGCAATCAGAATAATCGACCTTTTCAAACTTTGGCAATCTTCGGAACATTGCAGAAGCCGGAAATTACAATCTTAAGGATTGTAATAGTTCAGTGACCTCAGTACCAATTATTCGTTTCAGAAAGACCTTCGGTTCTAGATTAACCTCAATCAAAGTTTTAATATCATATCGTCCTCATTCAAATAGCAACTAATTAGTAAACACTCTCGGCCTATTTAAAACAATGCACTGCACGATATGGATTCCAGTAAACACTAATTAGCGATCATTTGATGTATGCCAGTGGCGCTCACTTCCGCATTTCAGCACAAACTACGCGTGTAAGATCAGGGGAGATAATTGATGATGACAGGTTATGGATTGGATGTGGCAATGCGAGACATGTTGTTACTCCCTTGTTACTTGTCCCAAAACTAAGCTTGGCTAGTCTGTTGAAGCGCATGCGTAATAATAACCGATCACTACAAATCAGTCAGATAAACAAAGAACATGGTTCAATATAGCTATGCCAGATGTTATTGGGAATATTCGAAAGGCATGCTGTTGTGTTAAGTTATATTGTGGGAGACGAGATGGTCTTGTTTTGGAGAGAAATGTGATTTTTTTTTTCATTTTTTTCTTCAAACAAATATGTATGAGAGTATTTATGAAGCTACAGCCATCATCTACTATATCTGTGTCAAAATTAATATGCGTTAAGCTAAAACGCTGAACATGACAAGCATAATAAAATGGGAGACACTCGAAATTTCGATAAAGCCGATTTAGAACAGAACCCACTTATATTAAACATATCAATTTGGAGATACTAGCCATAGCTAATAACGTTGTCCTATCCGTTGAAAAAAATGTACACGATTGATTTACTGTTTGTTTGCTATTGTCAACTGAGTTACATAAAACAAATTGTATTTATCTGCTCAAAATATTAAATATCAACCGTTTCTTGATATCAATTCTCAATGTGTAATAATTTTAAAGAAATTTAGCCAGAATCTTTCATTTTGTAGAGAATCTTTGTAAAATTACAGGGTAATACTAGTAAGCAAACAAGATATTCAGACAATATCGCACTCGTTAATATGCTACATAGATATCACTTTGTGTCCCGTCTAATCCGAACAGAAATGGTTCCGTCAATGCTATCAGGTATCACTTTCGTTTGGTAATATTGTCAAATTTCACTTTCATAATACATGTTACTTATTCGCAAAGTATCAACAAGATTCGCATATTTTGAATATAAATCCGTACAATTAACATATTTTTGTCAAAATTGTAAGATACCCTTCCACTGCGTTCTTCCGGTATACATTCACTATACTCAATTCTGCGGAATTATGCAATCTTATATTATAACACAACAATTGTGAACACTCAAGTTGGTGTATAAATGTAATTATGAAACATTTTGTCTGATATATAAAACAATATATTCACATTATCAATACTTCATAATTGTATGAAATAAATAAATGAACAAACTTTGTGTTAAAACCTATAACCGGAAATGTTGCTGTGTCGCCTTCATAAATACATCCAAATAACCGTTGTCAGAATAATTTGACCGGGCGGAATGCTGTGCTTGTTGCCTTTGGCATGGCATTTCAGTGAGATAGCACTATATGGTCGGCTTCAGATCCGCGCTATCACAAGGAGGCAAGTTCACCAACATAATTTGTCTCCTGCATACACACACGGCAGCACGCAGACAAACGTTATATGATTTATAAAAACTGATAATTATAAAAAAAAAATGTATGAGCATTCATAGTCATAATAAATAAATTATAAAGCTTGCTCTGTTTCCATAAACAAGGCCATAAAGTATTGCTCAAGCTTTCGAAAACTTCATAATTAAATTTTAACAGAGCTTCTACTTATACATGAACTCAACTTTTCCGTCTTTGCGTAATCATGTCAGTGACACGTTTCGAAGAACCAGTAATTAGTCAGAAATTAAACAACTTTACAGATGTCATGCTGTGTTGGAAAAAGCTTTTGCATTGCTGACACGGCTGTCGTGTCATTGTCAGAAACTCAAGCTTCAGGGGAGTCGGTAGGAACTCTTTTATTTTTAACTCAGAACTAGTCAGTAATTGATTTTGAGGAAAACAACATTTTGATATAGTTCAATTGCATAGGTTTTGGGTGTATTGGAATAATCTTTATCAAAAGTATTTTTGATAGGCATCAAGAGAACACAGGTCATTAGGCCCATATGCATTAGGTATCGGACTTTGTTTACGTCTTATAGTACATTTATCTCATTTTTACTTGCCACCTGCTACTGTGAATACCACTGTGTCCTTTTGCTCATTACCTCGAGTGGAACATTATGTAGCACCGAATTTGACGTAATAGTTACATGAAACTCACATGAATCTTTTCATAAAAATCTTACGTTTTCATATGAAATATCTTTATAAAACTGTTTTACCTGCACATACTAATAGTAATTTGATTTGGTTATTTTTTGACGAAAAAGACTAGATTCAACGAGTAGTTCAGAAAGGTTATAGGTTCCCGAAGGCACCCGTCCTAATCTCTCTAATGATGTGTATTTCCGAAGTATAACAAAAGAAATATTTACATGGAGCCCATTGAAAAAGTAGAAAGAGAATAAGACCAGGGGTTCCGGAAGGGTAAAAGCCTTTTGTTATATCGATGACAACCGCCATGTAAATCTATTTTGAATCCAAGTATGTCACGTCCTAACATTGAAAACTCGGGTCGCGACATCAAAACCACTAGACACTCCAAATTGCATAATGAAAAATATTGACCTTCATTACATACAAAGTAAAGGATATTACAGACACTACATTGAAATATTATGGAAACGATTGAAGTTCGGTGTAAATTTAAGACTCTTTGGTAGGACAGCCTGTCTACTTGATATGTTATTACACCATTTTCATATCTAGAAGTGGATATTTAACGTAATAGTAACTAGTAACAGTTCGGGCAGTCAACTGCTCTGTCTGAGGAGGGCGGTTTTTGTTTGTCCGCGGACATAGCGGCATCCCTCAATTCAAAGAGGAGCTGCGGTGATTAAAACGAACGTTTTATTGCTATATTAAACTCAAAACTAAAGTATAGCACCCTCTTGCAAAGCTTATCAACCGCGACATGTGAATTGAATCTGACTCAAATGTTGCTGCAGAGGAAAAGACAGTTGAAGATCAGAAAGGTCTAAACGATTGACATAGTCTGGGTTTCGTAGATCAATAAAGGTCACTACCATGATAGTGAAAATGTCATGCTATAAGGCTGGAAAAAGGGAGTATGGGTCGAGTTTTTGAGTTGTTTTCATCGTAAAACTAATTCTTCAAGGAGGATAAATAGCATTCAAGGCGTCCCATAACTGACGTCGTTGAATTACTGTTGAAATAACAGAGGACATAAAGGTAAATTAAAGGGGCATAACTTTCAGTCGTGCTTCATTGGAACAGTGCCATGTATATTATACAGGTTTAGTGAAAAATGATAACAATACTTATATAAGGGTCGGAGATATACGGAAGCGCAGACAAGAGCTTTCATACTATACAAATACACGGTAGTAGAAATGTAAAGACTGTTCGTACTTCTAAATGTACTATATATATTTTTTATCCTTTTCATGTATACAAAACTGATAATTGATCAATACAATCTTCCCCTATCTTGAGGGTGTGACAGAGAAATCTCCAACCTATGAGCTGATACTTTTATTTGTCTTACCCGAGGATCTGCCAAGATATGACACCCAAAATTATAACAATGGTTTTTAAGATATCTCTGGTACACCCTCAAGGTTAGGGGATGATTATGTTTCTATTATCTTGTTATTTCAATCACAACTCCACCGACAGGATACTGGCATATTAAAAAGTGATGTTTGAATATTACCGTTCATTTTTTATGACGTCAAAATCGACATTTCCTATTAGTACGCCAAAACTGAGCGTATGCTACTTTGCAAGAGGCTGTTCCCGCTAGCGGGCGCCAAGCTGGCCTTCCCAGGCTAGAACACAAGAAATAATACACCTTTACATGATCGAAACTGTTACGCGATGTCGGATGTTTTCATAACTGGATTTTACAACTATTAAGTTATGTTTCTCTAATGATATAATAATTCTAAGTGTATTGCACTGTTAAACATCAGCGATGGAACAGAAAGAAACCGATAAAAAAATATGTTGTATCATAATACATGTAGCTGTCTCATTCGGCATTTGGCGCCTTTATGTATATGGGATTGAACATCGTTATTGCAAATAGATGAATTGTCTTGCAAAAAGCAAAGTAACGTTTTGAATATTTATAAATGACTTAAAAACATAAATGCATCCAAGGATAGACTCTTTGGTGTCAAACTACCGAAAAGGGAAAATTCGTCTTAATTTTTATTTAAGTTAAGAATCAATCATTTGTTACGAAGTATTGATTAAGGCGTAAGTATGAACATAAGGAACAAACATAAAAATGGGGATAAGGGTTAATGGTTTGATGATTGAATAGTTCGGGTAGGCGCTATTATTTAGCTTAACTTCAGCTAACGACTATCACTTAGCTCTACTTCTGGATATTACTTCAGTTTATGGCGAGTTTGCTTCAAATGACGTATATACGATGTAAAGTTTTGTTGAACACTAACGCATGCGGTTAAATGTGGAGAATAACGGTACAATTTAATGGAATACTAACACGTACATGTGCAGTTTTATGTACAGAATACGGGACAGTTAAACGGAACATTATAAATTTCAAGTACACGTACAGTTTAATCGAAACTTAAACGAACAGCTTAATGGATACATCACCTACAATTTAAAGAACATTTTCACGTTTAGTTTAGAGAAACCTTACACGTAGTTAAAAGACAACTTACACCTACAGTTTTATGAACTCTTACACGCACAGTTGTATGAATATGTACACGCACAGTTGTAGGAATACTTACACGCACAGTTGTAGGATTACCTATACGCACAGTTGTATGAATACTCACTCGCAGAGTTGTATGAATACTTACACGCACAGTTGTATGAATACCTACACGCACAGTTGTATGAATACTTATGCGCACAGTTGTATGAATAATTACACGCACAGTTGTAGGAATACTTACTCGCACAGTTGTATGAATACTTACTCGCACAGTTGTGTGAATACTTACTCGCACAGTTGTTTGAATACTTACACGAACAGTTGTATGAATACTTAATCGCACAGTTGTAGGAATACTTACACGCACAGATGTATGAATACGTACACGCACAGTTGTATGAATATTTAATCGCACAGATGTAGGAATACTTACACGCACAGATGTATGAATACGTACACGCACAGTGGTATGAATATTTAATCGCACAGATGTAGGAATACTTACACGCACAGATGTATGAATACGAATACGTACACGCACAGTTGTATGAATGCTTACACGCA